ATCTGAACCGTCCGAGCTTGATTAAATAGGAAGTAGATCTTGACCATTGATCGCGTTTAAATCTAACTGTCCGATTGTGTTTGGGGAAGGGATGCATCCTGGCCGTCCGTGCGCGTGAGAGCGGATCTGGGTTGTCCGATCGCTGGCACCCGGGTCACTTACGTGGCCTCTTGCGTGGCACCGCGTCAGCGTCCATTGCCACGCGGCGCGTTTTGATTCGTTGGGGCTGCTGACTGGGTATCCTACGTGACACCATTTTTTTAAATTGTATTTTGACTCTTAGTTTCTGATTTTTCTTTCAAAAATATCATCAAAACTCAAATTTTCACCCATTTTTATTAAAATTATTTTTAATTTCATCATTCACCTAATTTTTTTCATTTTTACATTAAATTAAAATTTAAAAATTTAAAAATTATATTTAAAAATTAATTTTAAATTACATAAAAATTAATTTAGATATTACAAATTCTTCTAGTGAAATCGATTAAAGAATTCTCCAATTTTACTTGAACTCCCTATTGAAAAATAAAGGAACGTGCTTTATGAAATCAACCAAAATTCAAAAAGTTGAAATGATTTTTAAATTTTACCCTTACTCCATATTAGAAAATAAAAAGATCTACTTGATAAAATCGAGTAAAATGCAAAAAAGTTGAAATGATTATTCTTAAAAAAAGAAGAAAAAAAAATAAATAAATAAAAATGAATAGAGAATTCCGCCACGTGGCAGATTAATATAACCCTCTAACTAGTCCCTGAAAAGAGTGTTTCGCCACCTACCGCCTCCAATTCCCACTAGCGTGAATGTTGTTTATACTTCATACATGAAAAGGAAATCGCCCTGCCACCAACCCTGGTTAAGACCGTGTTTGGTAGCCACTTATTTTCGCTCTGTAATGTCCACATATTTAATCTACAGATTTGGTCCCTGTCAATCAAATATTTGGATTGAAGAAAAACAGAAAAAAAGCAAAAAAGCCCCACACCCAAACGCAGTCTTAGCCCTCCAACTAACTCTTGCTGTTCCTACCAACTCCCGCACTGTAAATACATACAGGAAGACGGCAGTGGCGAACACCAATCTTGCTGAGAGACTCATAGCCAGAGGACTCGTTTATTGTGAGTCACAAATAGTAATGGAAGATTGTTCTTTTTTAAGTTTCTGGTTTCTGCTTTGTTTTTGACGTATCTCCTTTTCTTTCAATTCATGTTTCTTCTCTAGAGAGAGAAGAAATTTCTTATTTCTTTCTTGCCGAAGCTCGAATTTGCTAAAAATCGGTCTATCTATTTCTGTTTCGGTGCCAGAATAAAAATGCTACAAATTTTTAGTCTGGAATTTTTAATAAGGTAGTCAATGGAGGCTGATATTTCATTCCGGCGTGATCTTTAACGACTTTGTCTTAATCAGAATTTATATTGAATAATCGCTCGTGTTTGATTGTGAATGTAGCATAGGCTCATCTCTAAAAGCCGTTCGCCTGTATATAATGCCTACCTCATCATGTTCCCTTGTGATTTTTCCTGTTTATCCTTTTTATGTCTTTGTTGAATAAATCCTATCATCCTCATTTGAGCAAAACCAAAATGATTTTTGTTGCACATCTTGATTTTTGCGGCGAATTCACATTGAATTTTTAACTTTTTTATTTTCGCAGCGTATTCACGCTTAAATTTTGCACTTATTGATTTTTGCAGCTGGTTCATG